CATAGATCATCGATGGCGAAGAAGTGCTACGCTAGGAGTATACGACGAGTGGACGGAGTGTCAGGCCCAGGTGTACCGATTTCCGAGCAACAGCTAGAGAGGGCTCGATAGTAGAGCCGAAGCGGAAAATAGTTAGTTTAGGTTCACGCTAGTGCGAGAGAAGAATACGAACCAGTGCCTCAAGAAGTACTACATTATGTATGATGAGACATTTCATGTAACTTGCATAGCTATATCTTTTTTTTGCGGGGTATAGCTATATCATGATTATGATGTGACAACATGATTTGTGTTGGATGATATGATGAGACTATTATGTGTATGATATGATGAGCATATTGCATGTTTATGATATGATTAGAATACTGTATAAAACCTTTACAAAAATATCGTAAATACGTAGCAAAAGAAAGATATGTGAAAATAGTAGTAGCGCTTGTTAGCGCTGGATAAGAAAACGCTACTGCTAACCCACTTAGCAGTAGCGCTGGTACGGACAGCGCTACTGATATATCTGCTAAGTAGATATATCAGTAGCGCGGGTGAAAACGCGCTACTGCTAAACGTTAGTTGTAGCTCCATATTAGCAGCGCGGTGTGCCACGCTACTGATAGCCCTTAGACCCGCGCTACTGCTAGGCTTTTCCCTAGTAGTGCAACTTGCTTTTGCTACAACTCGACCCCAGTGTCGTCACCAACATGGCAATTTTTGCGCATCTATGAAAAAACTTTGTTGGTATTGTTCCGTCGGTGTCTCTGTTCTGCCATTATTATATGCCCAAAATCGACAATGATAGACGCTTGAGAAGTATCACTTGGCATTTCAGGAATTGCATGGTGGTAGAGTACATTGGAGGAGACCTCATGACATGGTGGCAAGAGTGGAGATCCAACTAGTGCATGATAAAGATGGATGGCCCTCTAGCTTGTTGTGCGATTCCCCAAGGTGAAGTAGCACACATCCCCTATTGAAGGACAGAGGGCCCTGGGATGAGTAATTTTCCTTGGCAATCCAACACATAAAATCCCTCTGGCAAGCGAGCTTCACAATGGAAATGGTTGGTGTGAACTACCTTTGGCGACGCATTGCTCCCTTGCAACAGAGGAATCGTTTTGCCTGGGAATATAATGGGCCTTCCGACTGGATGCACCTCTGGCCTGGGCTGAAGTACAATTTGATAGAATTTCAACACCATGAGATCATCCAGCAACTGTTTAGTGCCAATCTGGTAACTACACTCCCGACAAACGTGTTCCCGCTTAACAACAACACTGCTCGGGACTCCATTTGGCGATGATGCCACAGTGCAATGCCAACAGCATCTTGCGAGACTAGGAGCCCCCAACACCTAAAGTTGTGGTCAATTGGTTAACCAAGCTGATTGAGACACCTGTTGAATAGGAAGTGTGCATGATCCGCTCGCCAAGGCAAGTGGAGGTGGAGAAGATGAAGAAGAGGTTGGCTGCAGCTGAGTCCTCCCAAGCTCGTGATGAAGATGAGCCAGCCCCTCCCCCAAAAAGACCAGCCACTTCTAAGCCTAAAAAATGGTTAGCAAAGAAAAGCCACTTCACTCCATCCTCTGCCGCCAACCCTCCCAAGAAGGAGCTAGAGAATGAAGATGTAGATGACGCACCCCTTGTATAGTGCCATTCTCGAAAAAAGGCGACAGTCCCAACTGAAGCCACTGTAGTGCAGGAAGGATCCTGCCAAAAGAGGGTGATATCCTTGCCAACCGCAGCGCCCGCCAACCAGGAAGCAGATGTTGCCATGGAAGACAAGATGTGGGACGTCGCCTTCTCCTGGGATGCCAGTGAGGAAGAGGAAGAAGATGAGTGAGAACTCAATCCTTCCTCAACTCTTTCCAAGATTTCATTTATTATTATTGCTTCTATCATGGAATTGACGCCCTGCTTCTTGATGTGCAGGGAGGAGGAGGTCTCCCAGCGTCCGAGGAAGAAGGCCCGGCAAGACCCAGAGAGCAATCCCGCCCCTGGTAATGGTGAGGGCGCAGGCAACTCTTCTAGCATTGCTAACGTGACTATCAACGATGCTTCACAGGCAGGAGACCCCGAGACTGTCGCTCAAGATCGCCAGGAGGAAGAGCTCCAAGAGTCTTCCCCGGGAAGGAATTCTCCCGCTAGGACTTCTCCGGCAAGAACTTCTCCGGCAAGAACTTCTCTGGCAAGAACTTCTCCGGCAAGAACTACAAGCGAGGTCATTCATGATGCTGATGTAGCAGCAAGGACAACCATTGAAGGAGAAGAGGAACTAGTACAAACCACCATTCCAGGTGCCTTCCCATAGCTTTTCTCTTCGTGACTTGTCAACTTGACGCATTGGGTGTTTGTTGGACATTTTTGCCCCTCACTTCATGAGTCACTTCCAAGTGGGACCCACTCAAAAAAATAAGAACAAAACCCCATCCACGCACTCACTTGCTTATAGTAGGATCCACTGAAGAAAAATAAAAATAAAAAACTCTATCTCTCATTTACATGTGGGTCCCTGGATTAGTCTCACTAATAACCCTAGTGATAACATGCTAGGATTAAGGCTAAACTAATTAATGGGCCCCACATGTCATAGGGAGCCCACTGCTCCTAGTCAAACCACCGACATTAAGCCATCGCCGACCATACGCCACGACACAAGGCATGGGAAACCTGTTCCCGCGACCAAAACCACCAGTGATTCATCATATGCGCTCCTGGGCTCTCTCCGCATCGAATGGAGGTGGTTGGGCGAGCAAGGGCGGCCGGAGTGTCGGCCATGGCCGAGTCCAGCGGCGGGCGCTAGTCGAAGCTTGGTCACAGGTGGCTAGAAGGCACAAGGAAGATGTGGTAGAAGTCCATCGATAAAGAGGATCACTGCGAGCATGCCTGAGTGGTAGAAGGGGCTGGCTACGGCCGAGAGCGAGAACATGGACCTTGCCCGCGGCCGCCAGAGCGAGGTGCCGTGGGAAGGTGGCTGGATTAAGAGGAAATTATAGGTGACATGTCTGGAACATTCGAGATAGCATATGGATCTCCGTGACGGTAAGGGGGCGATGGGGGATCTCGGATGATATCAAATCTAAGACAATAGTCGGCGGTCAGAGGCGGCGGAGATGGTGTCGGTTCCGAACTTGCAGAGCACCCGAGGTCGCGATCTTCGGTATGGTGACGCTCTACTTATGGCGGGGCTCAAAGACATGGTTGTGCGGCGACTCGGCGTCATTGGCCATGGGAAGGGCGACGCCCAGGTGTGCGCGCGGGCAACATGCCCTTTGCCTCTGCAGAGGAAGAAGATAACCAGCCAGTGGGCTGGGTTGGCTGGGCCGTCCTATGCCAAAAGGTAAGCACTTGCACTCTCTTTTCTTTTTCAATTTCTGCTTTTTTTCAGGGGCAAAAATTTCAAAAAAACGCCCAAAGAACGGTCAAAACCCTTTAACTAGACAGTAACGGCATGAAAGGACATTTCTATAAGTGCAACTAACAGCAGAGGGGCAAATTAAAGCATGCTTCGAAATTAGGGGTAAATAGGAGTAGTGGGTTCGAGTTAGAGGCACAAATGTAAATGTCCCTAGAAAATTATACTAACATCTACAACACCAAATTAATTTCGTTAGATCTGTCATATAATATATTTTCATACTATATATATTTGATGTTGTGGATATTAGTAAATTTTCCATCTACAACACTAAGTGTTACACATGATTTAGATCTTTAGTGTATTTAATAACACACTACAAAATATATTTAACAAAAATGAAACACTATTGTACATCCAAGTGGCAGTAATTTAATTTTGGAGGGTCGTTAAAATGTACTCCCTACAAAGTTATACTAAAGTTGAGACACTTATTTTGAGATGGAGGGAGTATTTTATTATTCTGCTTACATACAACGATTTAGTTTAATGAAAGAGTTTTAGGCCCTGTTCGTTTAATCCCATCCCCGCCGGTATTGGGACAAAACCCGGCCAATCCACGTGGGTTTAGCCCCGGCCGGGGTTGGATCCCGGCTTGTCTTATATGTGTCTTCGGTTGGACCCAGTCTGGACCAAATCCCTCTCAAGCCGCGTGGAAATCGCAGGGAAATGACCCACGCGGCCCATCCCATGGAAGCAAACCTCTCGAGAAACGTTACGCGAGCTCTCGCTCTTTCGCCCCGACCTTCTCTCCCTCACTCCATTCAGCGACGGCGGCGCCGGCGCCCGAGATGCTGCCGGAGCAGATAGCGACGGAACGCTTCCTCCTTCCCCTTCTTCTCCCATACAACATTCAAAGGAAACGGCGCAAGCTCGGCGGCGACCCGCACAGCCGTGGAGCCCAGCCGAAACCCTAGCTGACTTCGACCAATCTCCCCCGCCGCCTCACGCCGGAGAAGAGGAGACAGCTGGCCAGAAGACCTTCAGGCTTGTTCTCTCTTTGTCTCTCTCTGAGATTCTCCCCTGTCTACTCCCCCTTCTCTCTCTATCTGCAGCTAGGGATAAACCGAATGCATAAAAATCGAGATGGATTGCTTGGTGACATGTATTTGTTCCGTGAGGGGATTTGATGCAAGGTGGGGGATCACCCAATCCTCTAGAGGATTAAATCCACTAGAGGATTAAACACTATTGAACCGAACAAGGCCTTAAGGGGCGAGTTCTCTCAAACTAACCTTATGTAAATAATTAAAACAGAGAGTGGTATATGTGAGAGTATTTGCTCAAAATAACTAGGAAATGAATCATGACAACTAACAATGAAACAAATACAACATAAGAATATTACCGAACATGCCATAACTTACAAGTCTACGATTAACACGCTAAAATACGCACATAGCACTTGAAAAATAAGAACAAAATAGTTAAATAAGTGTAATAATCAAACTGAGTTCAGCTAGCAGCTAGTAACATAGTAGTAATACTTATTATGGGAAGGAGAATACCATGGATGCACAAATTAATCGGTCCCCTAATATTGCACAAGTAATCATATAATCACTGGCAGGCCGTTTGGCCATGCATATTTATCGTCCATGGCTCGACGGTCCCATCTTGGCGGCGGGCGGCCGCTCGACGTGGTCCTGCCCGAAGGCCCGAATGTGATCCTTGAGCGAGCGCTTGTGCTTGAAGTCGGAGCCGCAGGTGCAGTGCCACCGGCGGCCGCAGTTCTTCTCGTGCGTGCGCCAGTCGCCGCGCACGGCGAGCGCCTTGCCGCACTTGCGGCAGAGGAATGGCTTGGCACAGTGCCTGCGCTTGTAGTGCGTCTGCAGCGTCCGGAAGTCCTTGAGCGGCCACGCCCGCGGGTGGTCCACGTGGCTCCGGCACCCCGGCGCGCAGCAGAAGCACGGGAGCCGGAGCATCGCCGCCGGCTGCGTGCCGCGGAGGGAGTCCGGCCCGCGGCGGTACTGCGACCCGTGTCCCCACATGTGCATCTGCATGCATCATATCCTCAAAGTTAACTGCACAATCATGATATTCAGCAATGTCACTCAAAATATGTCAAATTAATTAGACAACAGTGGATGCATGGATCTATCGGTAATGCTGTCACCAGACAGACATGGTGCCTTTCCTGGGGAAGCAGCTATAAATCCGTGTACACATATGGATGCATCCACAGTGCAACTGTGCAAGGCAGAATGGAGAGAGAATTTTCATGGTACCTCTCTCCCTCTCTCTGAGCCTGGACATGCAGGAGGTGACAAAAATACGAACCAGGCACGACAAAAGCCAGGATAGAATGATGGGAGGAAGCCCTACATCTGTACTGGCCCAAATGTTCGAACTAACAACAAAAGGAAGTACGAATTAACCAGCCTGCCTAGCTGAAATGCACAAAAGGCCCCAGTCTCTACACTATAGCCCTCGTCTCACAAGCTACTACCACATCACGGATGTCCCCCCATCTTCTGCTACAGTGTATACACCGATCAAGATTCCCGTAGCTACAGATCCGTATTTGTTATGGTGATCATGCATGCATGCAACTGCAGGAAAAATGATGATCTTGGACATCAGCTGCCATGTAGCACATCGATCAATCGAATCAATATCTTCTACTAGCTTGTAAATTAAACTTAGATGGATGCATATATGAAGTCTAGCTAATTACCTGCAGGTTGTTGTATCTGCTGAAGGTCTTGCAGCACACCGGGCAAGCGAAGTGAGTTGGCCCAATGAGGATCTGTGTTAGAATTATGTCGAATATTATTGTACAAGGTAGGTTACAGTTGGACTTGGTTTGGACTGTGTGTAGACAGGGTAGGAGTTGTGTCCTAATAGGACACTTGTATCCTAGGCCTCTCATATATAACGAGGGTAGACACACGATGTAACCTATGCCAACATAATAGCACAGGCACGCGGGGGAGCCGGCGGCGTGTGCCGGCGCCCGGGCGGCCCGGGTGCGGTATTGTGACGGTGTCATGGGGAGGAGCGCCCGTAGTCATGCCCCGGGGATGTAGCCATATCGGTGAACCTCGTTAACAAATCTCGGTATCGTGCTTGTGTGATTGCTTGATCCTCGGTAGAAAGACAAAGCGCCTCGGTTTTATTCTAACAAGTGGTATCAGAGCAAGGTTGCAAGGTCTGAAGGTTGCGGATCGTTGATTTAGAGGATAGCGACGAAGACCGGCGGCTGTGGAGGTACGGCGTACATGCAGCAGCGATCAGAGATCGCCGCGCATAAAGCAATCAGAATCGGAGAAGCAGTTCACGGTAGAGTCGGCGAGATTAGAAGTTGCAAAAGATCGAAAGTGCGTGCGGCAGTAGCTGTGTTCGAGGTGGCAGGATCCGAGCGGAACACGTACAGCCAGCGGCAGCAGGGAGGCGGCTCGCGAGGCTCGACACACGCGTGGCCGGCGAGCTAGCGTGCTTTCCACGCCGATCGCTCGTTGGAGGCTGGGGCTGGGCTAGATGCAGCAGTAGGCCCATGGCACTCAGATGGCCCAGGCGCAGCAAGCTAGACACGCAGGAGGTCGATGAGGGAGCAACTTTGGTCGCTACACGTCTACAGAAGGAGCTTCGGTGCATGCAGGTGACAGG